AAAACTGCGTTGCAGTCCAAACCATAACCACCGCTTGTGAGGGAATGCTGTGTCCGGGCTGTGCCGATTGCTCAGTATACACAAACATCTGGGGATGTAATTACCTCGTCGATAAGGACTGGTGGGTTAATTTGTAACAATCAGACTTTGCCAAAACAAAGTAAATCACAGACTGCGAAAGACCTGCTACTGACCCTTGAAAGCAACTCTTTTTTTTTTTGCGTGCATGCAATACACAGCACATATAGGTATGTACACAAGTCTGCGTGCTGCGAGTCCTGGGGGAGCCGGCTACCACAATAGCCGAACGGCTGGCGCTGTGTAATGTTTACCATGCATGTGCTCTGGAGGCGGGCTGCGTCTCCGCCGCTCCTCGTCTGTCTCCAGCGCGCTGCTTTAAAAGGAAAACTGGGCTCTGCAGCGCCCCGTGCTCACAGCAGAAGTGAGGAGATTTATTTGTCATGTAGTTTCGTCTGATCCTTTCTGTAAATAATCATACTTCAGTTCCCGCAAAGCCGCGCCTGGCCTGGCAGACAGCTAACCAGCGGAATAAATCATGTTCTTCTATTTTCTCTCTCTCTCTCCCGGAGATCTATCGATAAACTGAGAAGCACAAAGCCCTGCAGAAGCAGTCCGTCCGCTTCTCACTTCCCCGTGCACTTGCGCGAATTAACACACGGAAGACTGGGAATTGAACCAAATCCTGTCTTGTTCGTCAACCTTAAAAGTGTGGTTTCTTTAAAAAAAAATCTCGCATTCTCTTGCCTCTGCTTCACTTGATGTTGCCTTGTCCCCCCCTTTTAAAAATATTTACAGCCATCCTCCCTACTGCTCTCTCCAATTGACAACACGTTCATTTCCAAAATACTTAAAAACAAAACTCTTTCAAATGAGGTAATTATGCTGCATATCCCCCCTTTCCCACTAGAACATTCTCAAATCATGACAAGTACGTTGAAAAATGAAAAAAAACAACTACAACAACAATGACTTTGAATAGCCTTTATATTTCTGTAAAGGTTTCTTCTTCCAGTCCTAGAAATTCCAGGCCTCTGTTCTTAACATGACTTTTTCTATCGGTCTTTCTTGCTTCCCACACACCGAACAGAAAGCGTTGCGGACACTGCGATGTGTTGTGTGCTGCAAGAGAGTGATATTTAAAACGGCAAAAGTTTATCATCAGTAACTAGCTCCTTCTATACCAAAATCCTCTAAAAATCAAATAAGATGAAAGAGCTCCAAAACGCCCCGTTCACCGATGCGGGCAGACACCCTCCCTGGTAAGTGTACGACTGATGACCCTAACTGCACATCTACACTACCCTGATCAGGAACGAATGCTTCGGAAAACTCTCATTTTCTAGCTTTTGAATCGCCAGTTATTAACCTCCTCACACTCGCCTCCCACAATGTCTGATGAGCCGATCAATGAACAGGAAACATGGGTTTAATCCCATAACTGAGCGCTGAACCCTCAAATGAAGGGTTTTGAGCCGCTGCAGGAAAGATGCTCGGTGGTATAAATGTAAGTCACTCAGGAGAAAGTGAAAGGATCACTGTTGAAGGGCCATCTGAGGAGCAGAATGGGTGACTCGGAAGTCGGACTGCTCGGGACCGAAAGGGGGATCAAAGACATGGCAGGGGAGTGTTACGCCACTCTCACTCATGAGACAGCCCAGATCTGACCCCGCGAAAGTGGTCTAAGCTGCCCCTGCCATTCCAGGAGGCCCAGGTTTTTGTCAGGTTTAATCTCGATTGACACTGACAATGTCAATGCTCCTATTGTCTGGAGTTCTGTAACAGAACCTGGATGACCTGCTATCCCAGGACGACCCTCTGCAGTGTATACTGCCGTATCGAACACATCAACAAAGCTTTAATCCCTTTGCCTGTAAAGACTTTAAGAAGAACCTCAGTTGGTGCTTACCTATAAGGGTCTTGCATTTGTTGCACCCCTTTGGCTGCATCACACGGACCTTCTGGAGCCCTTGCAGCTGGTTTATGTAAAAAGGTCGTAATATGCCTTCAAAGTGAATCACAGAACCTCTCGCCATTGGAACCAGCGGAGAGCAGCCCTGTTTTGGAAGGGGTCCGGGTACGCACTGGGAGGCTTCCTTCCTTCGAGAACTACGCCAGCGCTCGCTCTCCGTCTGTGCCAGGGGCTGACGGTGTGTGGGTTCGGGACATATTGAACTATTAGTCAGATGCTGCAGGTAGGCTGGGCGGCCGGCAGGCTAAACAGCATGTCTGTCATGCCAGCTTCAAAAGCACTTTTAATACAGTGAAACGCAACCCATCTGCACTTGAGGAAAGGATTCTATACACTCCTGTCACAGGTGTCAAAGGCTCCATACTGGTACATTCAGCTCACTGTCCATTCTGACCATCACAGACTGGGACTTGATTTTGGATGGAAGAGGGGGAGGGGGTGTGTAGAGAAGGGAGATCCCCAAACTGAAACACACTAGGCAACAGCGACAATTCGCCTGGAAAGGCGAAATAACAGTCCGCAACCACTACTGAAGGGCAGCGAGAGAGAATAGCCAGGATATAGCCTCGCAACAGACCCAATTCTTTTGAGCTGAACAGCAGTCGGGCAATTTCCAGTGCAGGGGCTGCGCTGCCTGCGACGTGTCAAAAGACGATTGGCTCGAAGGCGGGCAGGTGGGAGGAGTCAGCCAGCAGTTCCTCCCCCTCCCCCGTGTGCAGCCACGGGGTTCGTTACCGCGAGCCGAGACGAGATGAGAAACACCGTTGGAGATTCCAGATTGGGCAAGGAAATAACACAAATTATTGTTGATTTTTTTTTTTTAAAAAGCAAGAAAATAGGATTTCAAATCAGATACCACACTGCCGTATGCACCGATGATGCACATTGCAAGCCGCTGTTCAAACTCAAAAACCTTCAAGATGGGCGTCTCACAAGGACAGGCCTGAGTATACGGCGTGTGTTCATGCGTGGAAGGGGCTTGCACGCAGCCATTAGTATACGAGGCGTTTTTTTATGGTTGTTTTTAAACGCTCAGTTGTTTTCCATTAGCCGTCAGCCCTGCAGGGGGAATACTAGTAAAAGAACGTAAGTCCTTTCAGTGATGAAGAAATGAAAGGAAGAAAGCAGCCAGATTCCCTGCCCCACACAGGCACGGTGATTTACAGCAGGCACCGCCATCCGGAGCCTGGGCAGCTCTAACCACAGTGCTGTCGAATCGGGGCTCGACCACAAAAAGAGCACGTCACACGTCTCACGGCCTCGTGGCTGTGCGGGTCCCACCAGGAGCTGCCATCTCTCCCTGGGGTAATGGGTTCCCCCTGCACAAGGAAGGGGCCCGCCGGACTCAAGACGAGGGGCAGTCTTCTTAAAAAAAAAAAGCCGCGAGGTCGAGTGTGAGGAAATTGGCTCGAAGGAGTTCTGTCAACACGCGCTGATGCCAGTCTGCTTCCAGGCAGGCTAAGAGGCCTTACCTTTGCGTTGGACATTAACATTTCCATTAGACACGCGTCTTCACAGGAAAAGTCCTAGGCCTTCCTTTCTTTTCTTCCCCCAGTTCTTTAGTTAATGTGTGCCATATTAATGCATATTTACCTTGGTCTGACCCTGAAAAATGTTATCCACCATACTTGACAGCGCCGCCAAAGGCTGCTTTCAATCGAATAATCCCGTCTGTTCTTGACAAGCTTCTTATGTTTTCCCCAGCTGACTGAACTTTGGGTTTTTGATATCGGGGTCAAGGGTAAAACCCATTCGTTTCGTGTTAACATCACCACACCACGCAAAGAGGGAGACGACAAGGTTATGAACCCCCTCATAAACCACACTTGTTCCCATACAGGGATTGCAGAACCTCCATTAACACTCTGCAAAGACTTGGCGAACGTTGGTCGATAAAAATGTTTCTGTGGCTTAATAAAATTAAAACAATATCCCCCACAATGTTAATTTAATATATAACACATTTTGCTATGGAATGTTTAGAGGAAAAGAAAACATTTCACTTTCTTCTGTACCTACATTCTAATTTCATCTACTATCAGATGCCTCATCTATCAAATTGACAGCTTGCTGATGAAAAAATGCACATTTAAATCGGAAAGGAGCTTTTCCTACAATTTGAAGAATAAAGTTCAAGGAGAACATTTAAAATAATTAGGACTCCTTATTACTGAGAAAATTCTAGCGTCTTCGTTGTAGCAGATTTTAAAGTAACACCTTTTTATACAGACATACAAATGATCCTTGTAGCTGTGTAACTACCAGTGCAAGTTAAGATTATTCCTCTACTAAAATGACTAATATATTGCAACTCTACAAGTTATTACATCGTTAGCATTAGTCATAATAGGCTGCCTCCTTACACGTTGAAAATCAGTTTATTTTCTTTCAATCCACGGCTTTCAAAATAGCAATATTTCTCAAATGTAATAGAGATGTTTGAAATAGAAATCTGCCAAGACCCCATATTCACCAGCTTTTCCAAGGTTCCTCCTAAGATAAACACACGTAAACCTAATCCATATTTCCACATAAAACAAACCTGCACTAGTTTCCCTCTCAGAGGGCAATAAATTTAGTGTACTCCCAAAGCAGGGAATACAAACCATGCTGTAATCTGGCTCCAAATTCAAAGTGTTCTGGGAAAAACATTCTTGAAAAATATAACCTCCACCATCTGCATTTCTTTTGCAAAGAGAACCTTCTAACAGGTTCACCTTCGTGGCATAGAATCGAGCACAACCATCTCAACGATACAACCTCCTCCGTCGTCCGCGCTTGGAACCAGACCCGAAGAGAAATCAAGCACAGAGGACAAACAATCCGAACCAACCGAAAGCAAGATGAAAAAAACAAACAAACAAGCTTGCTAAATGGCCGAAAAAGACCATTTTGTTTGTAAACAAAATGTTTTACACGTCAACAAAAGGCTCAGATTCTCTGGCCAAGGAAGGGAACCACAGAGAAGAGAAATGGGCAAAACATCACATTAAAGAGCTGCAGTACTTACAGCCGCCCCAGTTTGGGGTTGGTCTGGAACAGTAGCTCTGGAAGGACCGTCAGCTTGTTCCGATTCAGGCGTCTGCGAGAGAGAACCAAGAGGGACAAACGGGGTGAGACTGACGCCGGCAGTACAGAACAGGCACACGGTCGTCCTTAGACAACGAGGAAGGGAAAATGTCAAGACACACCCTCACGGCTCGTCCGCCCTGGGATTCCATGCTGAACCAGGAGCCTGCGGGCTCAGACACAGCCCCGCCCCCTAGACAGCGGCGAGTCGGGGTCTCAGGCCGCCAGACCACTCCACACTGTCTAGGGTTCGAGGAGGTGATGCCACAAGAGTCACACCCTCTGTGCGCTGAGCCCCCCATGCACACACGTCTTCCTCGGGTGTCCACCGAGTCCTGAGTTAAAAATGATCAGGGTACAGAGCAAACTCCATTTTCTCCTGGGAACCAGCTTCTGTCTGGCTGCTTACGTGTCTCTGTGGCTCAGGATCTGTGCCTGTTGCCGGTTCAAATCCCGCGGCTGGCAGAGGAATCCTACTCCGTTGGGCCCCCGAGCAAGGCCCTTGACCCCAACTGCTCCAGGGGCGCCGTACAATGGCTGACCCTGCGCTCTGACATTAAACTTCTTTCTCTGCCTGTGTGTCTCATGGAGAGCAAGCTGGGGTATGTGAAAAGACTAATTCCTAATGCAAGAAATTGTATACGGCTAATAAAGTAATCTTATCTTATGTCCCAGTATAGTTAATTAGTACTTCCTGTACAAATATCAACCATAACCCCAAAAAAAAAATAAACCTTAAAAAATAAAACAGAATTGTTTCTCTACAGCTCCTATGTGTGGGCATGACTGTGGGTGGCTGGGCATGAGTGTATTCTTGCTCAAGAGAAAGGAGGAAACCTGAAGAAAAATAAGGCTGGGATTTAATAAATCAAAATAGGAAAAAATGTGAAGTGCTTTGGCCTGGGCACTGGGAGGAAACCTTTGACAAGTGATTTTCAACTAAGCAAGGTCAAAGGTCAACATCCTCATTCTGTCTTATCAGAGATTCTGAGACTTCCTAGGAGGACAGGAAGGGGTTATCAGCTTATAAAGTCTTTAAAGGCCATTATTGCCCTGACGAGCTTTTAAATCTGACAGAAAAGGGTCTTTCAAGGACTTTTATTTATCACATGACACAGAATTATCTGAACAAAAGGGCACTCTGGAGCAGTGGGTCAGCGAGGTAGGTATGTGAGGGAGTCTGTGAGCTTGTTCAAGTACCTCCCCTCACACACACACATTATCTACAGACTAGACATCAGTACAGCTGCATGGAAGTTATTAGGATTCTCTCTCCCATGGGGAGTATGCAATTGTGGGCTGGTAGGATTTTAGACTTTGACTTTCCCAATCAGGTTTGTCCAATTAAGTAATGAAGTGATAATCATGATTTTAAATGGATGTGGTCAGAAATAAAAAATAAACAAAACCGAGGATCCTGGTCAGAGGAGAATATTTTTCCTCCCCAAGTCACCAGCTGAATCAGTTTCTTAGTGCTAGTCTCTGCTTAAATGTTTAAGCTGTGTTTAAGTATAACACTGCCTATCAGCTGCAGGAAGATCTAGCAAAGTCATTATTGTTCTCCATCTCGTAAAACACTATACAAATATCCATTTCATGCAACTGTACAGACCAGCCTGAAAATCTGCCTTCCAGAAGATTATCTGCTAAACTACGATCATTATAATCTTCACTTCACAATACAGCAGGTTCCCCTACCCTACTGCCCCTCCCCCAACGAGCACTGGCACAGCATCCCATAAATATGGGATTCTGCAGAAAGAGGGGGGTTTGGCAACAGTTCAAAGTTTGGTGAAGAAATGTATTCCCTCAGGGCAGCCCCTCCTTGGAGCCACTCCATCGCTTCTTCTTCAACAGAGCAGTCCCATGCATGGCTCGTAAACGTCTCGTAAAAAGTCTATTTTTTTTTAAGAGCGGGCCATGATCTCAAAATCCAAGCATCTCAACGATTTCGGAAGCCGAGACTTTGCACTGTGTACGCGGTGCCCGGGAGTCTGGGGAACACTGTGTCAGTGGCTAATGACATCGGGGAGGCCTTCCTTCTGTATAGTAGTGGGCTGCAGCAGTGATCTGAATCAGATGTTTTTAGCGCCCTGTTTGTTTTAAGTTTAGAACTTTAAAGCACAACAGAATCCTGCTGTTTTTCCACACGTCTCCTGCAGTATGGGTTTCTGCACTGGAGTCTCCCTTCAGTCCTGCACCATGCGTAAGGTTACACTACCAGACATGGACGCCTTCGTATCGGCTCCATTTCAGGCCTGGTGTTCTGTTGCAGGTGTGCTGCCGTTGCGCCAGCACGTGGTCTTTTAACACAGCCAGGTGCTGCATGAAGACACCAATCACTGAAAACATGCGCGTGCAGGAACCTTGCCCTGCCACCTTCCCAGCCCCTTAAGAAAATGAAGGGCAAATAGAACCGTCTGCCGCTGTGATTTGAACAGCATGGGGCATCACAGAGTAACGTCTGGCTCTGAGTCAACAGCGCAGGGGTGTCAGGGGTAGGAAAGGGCAGGGTTCGTGAGTCAGTGCCTCCACCACAAAGGCCCAGTGAAGACAGAGTGCTGGGGAGGCGGCCTGCGAAATTCCAGACTGGTGTGCCAAAGAGGAACTTAGCAAGAGCGCCCAGGTTATATCAAGACTTGTCTGACGGGAAAGCATTCGACACAGGAAGCGCAGGCCGTGAGCTCTGTCTCTCCTGGAACGCCTGGGCTGATTCCCAACAGGTGAAAGCAGTTGGACCGGAGCGGTTCAACACGCCTGTTCCCACACGGGGACCTGATGGGTGCCGCTGATAGTGGACGATGAGTGAACACGCTTGCGCGTAGAGGAATTGGATGTCTTGAAAACGCAGGGAATCTTGCAAGATTTGAAAGATGATGAGAATGGTGAGGAGCAAGGTATTTGACCAGTGATAGTGACACGCGGTGATGAATATCGTCTTTTTGAACCATACTATCTCCTTTCCTGATATCCTGATCCAGGCCTTTTTAAAAGAATATTAGTCGTAGCACTAACTGTAGTTGCTTCTAGTCAGCTAGCATACCTCCGAGTTCGCTGGATTCATCACGACGCCTGGGAATTTATAAATACTGGCCCACTCTACTGACACGGCGATGAACTCCAAATGACTTTTATGCCCTCAGATACACCTCCCCTGGTGTGTTTTACAGGGAAAAGATCGCCCCAGAGATCTAATTTTACTCGCTTCCTGCTCCCGGTGAGCGGAGGCCAGGAGTTCTCAGGTGTGTCAGCTCGGCCTCGCGACAGTCTCGGGCTCTGTCACGGCCGTGGCAAGGCGATGTTAACCCGGGAACGTGACTTCTGGGCAGCAGGTCACGGATACTCACAGTCTCTCCAGCTGCTTCAGATCCTGGAATGCTCCTCTCTCAATTACACTGATCTGATTGTCCTCCAGGTGCCTGGGAAAAGAGACAGAACCCCACACTCATCAAGAGGAGTGAGCTCAAGCACGTATACTGGTTCCACG